AGCTTCTGTAACAGAAAACAGATTAACTTTGGGTGCTACTGGTATGTTAGATAAAGAGCCTGTTGAGTCTCACTTTTAAATAATTTATTTAAAACTTTACAGCCAAAATCTCATAATCAAATTCAGAAGAGCTTTCTGTTCTTGTGAGATCATGCAGAATGCTGCTAGTTTCTTTAAAAAACAAACAAACAAACATAGAAGTATGGCTCCAGCATTGTACGAAAGAAGTTGCCAATTGAGTCATGAGCGAAGAGGAAGGCTAATTGCAATCAACTGTCCCCTTCTGCTCTCCAGTTCCTGAACAGCACAGTAAAGAGCTTGTGGCTCAGTATTGGCTGCACAGCTCATGAAGATACTGCTCAGATGCTCATTTGGGCTTTTGTTCATGAACTGATTGAGCGAAAGTATTAAGTATAACATGTTTAAGGTAGAATAGAAATAATTGTCAGAGCAAGATGATTTTTTAGCACTTGAAAAAAGTTTAATCTTTTTTTCTTTCAATACTGAGGTTTTATTTACTGTTATCTATTTGCAATTCCACATTATTTGGCTTTAAAGTAGCTTTTTTATTAGTACACTGTATTAATTTCATAGGTTTTGCTCATAAAAATGTTTCTCTGTTCTCTGCTTGTCCATTTCATAGTTCCTTATGTTTTAAGAGAGACTAATCCTCCATTAACACTTTGTTTCATAGTCTGTGGTATGGTATAATAGGTTTATCATAAGATATAATCTGATAAGTGCAACGCTTGTGACAAATTTAAGCCTACTAATGCAAATACCACTTTCTTTGGGACAGTTGGATTGTTGATATAATGTTCAAAAATCTCATCAGTTAAAAAGAGCTCATTCCTCCTTCCCAACCAAAGGGGGAGGCTGCTCACTTGTTGTTCTTGCCCCATTTTCTTCCTTTTAGTCATTTAATATTCCAGAGGATCCAAGCAAAACAAAACAATTTGCTGTTTAAAATGTCTGGCTGTTATCTCTTGTGTTTTAAACAGAGAATCATTTTCAAAAGGAATAATTTCCCTTTAAGAACATAACTGTTGTGAAAATAGTGGAGTGGGAATGGGGGCTAATAAAAAGAACATTTAAAGATGTGGTAAGCCTTGATATTGTAAAGACAATCGTTTTGGTGGAGATCTATGGGGGATGGGGAGTTGGTACCTACAATTTCAGAGACCATCAATTCAGTTTCTTGTTAAATTGTATTTTCTTCCTTTCCAGTCCTTCATACTTACTGATTTTCAAAAACTTTTAAATAAGTTGAAATAGAAAGTTTAATGGACTACACTATAAACAAAACTAAACTCAAGTGTTGATGACCAACTCCACATCACAAGAAAATTTAATGGGCTATATCTACATATGTCACCAGAACTCATCTTGAAGGTGATTGTTACTTTATATCAGCATATGTTAAAACTAGAGCAAATGTAAGAAAACTTGTTCTGTATCTTGTAGTGATTTCAATAGAGCTCAGATCAACAATCACAATTTCACATCTGTTCCTATTGAGATTTCTTCAGGGTTTTTTTTTTTTTTTTTTTTAGTGTATGGCAGAACTGTCAAACTCTCAACCTGCAGGCCAGATGTGTCACACGCTGGCCATGCCCACACCCGGTTTAGCAAAGGGGAAAAAAGTCCTGATACATCACATGATGCTACCATGACATGAGTTTGACACCCCTGGTGTGTGGTGATATTAGCCAGGAAACTACAATGCTTAATGCATAGCAGTTTGGCTGTTTATTAGCTGTTTGGTACATGCTTGTGCGCTTCCCAAGATGTGTCATAGGAAGGAAAACTATTCAGCACAAGAAAAATGACTTTTCTGCAGTGTCATCTGAAGCCTTCTCCCCTCACAAGTGGATGTTGCAACTGGAAAGGTCTAGTGCCAGCAGGATTGTAATCATCCACACGTCCATAGGTACTGAAGTGGTACTTATTTATCTACTTGTATAGAACATACTTTCGAACTGCTAGATGAGCAGAACCTAAGGCAAGCTCACTCCGCCAAACAATGCTAGGATTCAAACCGCTGGAGCTGAGACCATCTCCAGTGTCATTAAGTCTTTGGGCCACCATGCTGATTTTTTCCTTCCTAATGTGATTAATTTTTGTTGGGCTCCTCACAACATATATAAACCAATCATGTTCCCTCCATAAAGAAAACTAACCAGTCCCTTTCTAAGCTGGATCCACAGCCTCTTCCCCACCTCTCACAAGACAGACCTGGGTCAGTGCCTCAAAAGGAACCAATGTTGATTTAACAATCAATTCTGAGAAGGTAGCAGCTCACTAGAGACAGAATTCTTTGGCCACTTCTGTCACTTTTCTTAACTGGGGGGAATGTTCTTAGAAGTTGTATTTTTAGGTCTATATATATCTCCCATCTTTTTTCCAGCCCTGTGGTGCAACTAGATTATTTTAAATTCCACTCTCAGTGGTCTTTGGAGAAAAAAAGGCTCTACACAACCTTGAGTCAAAATGGAAATAAACACCATTCTCTAGCAGAAAACCATAATGCATTTTATGATTATGCATTATGGCAATCACCATTTGGCCCCAGCATGAACACAACAGCCAAAGTATTGCAGCAAGCCTTTTATTATTTCCTAATGCTTTGGGTCAATTGGAGGCTCTCTGAAGGTTGGATTTTGGACCATGAGATTCAGATTTAGCTAAATCATTGTTCTGCCATTTCTTTATTTAACGTGTTCCAGAATTACCCTTTGCTTTATAAGTATCAAGCATGCAGGAAACTATAGCATTTTTTTTTTAGAAATACAAAGATGATTATGGCATAAGCATTTATGTATTGCAGTCCCAAGACCTTACTGTAGTTTCTATCTGGCACACAAAACCAACAATTCAACTTCACTCTCTGAGTTTTAGCAAAGTGAGCAAAGCAGTATGTTGTCCATACTGTATTGAATCATTTGGAACAACAGGGAACATATGTAAGGTTCTTATTTGTGGATTATAGCTCTGCCTTTAACACCATTCTACCCAACAGGTTGTTTCTTAAAATGACCACTTTGGGTATAAATCAGAGGATTTGTTTGTGGATAAAGGATTTTCTGACAGATAGGCCAGAGTCAGTAAGGATGGGATCTCACCATTCCTCTACTCTGATACTAAGCACAGGAGCCCCCCAGGGTTGTGTGCTAAACCCCTCCCTTTATTCCTTGTATACACATGACTGCACCCCATTTTATAATACCAACGCAATTATTAAATATGCGGATGACATGACAATGGTGGGGCTCATTAATAAGAACAATGAGTCTGCTTATAGAAAGGAAGTACAAGGGCTGACATTGTGGTATAAAGAAAATAATCTTATACTTAACACTATGAATGCTGACATGCTTGTGAAGAAGGCACAGAAGAGGTTGTACTTCCTGAGAATGCTCAGGAAGAGAAATCTATCACAGCATCTACTTCTGTCCTACTATAGCAGCACCATTGAGAGTGTCTTGACATACGGCATTCTTGCATGGCATGGGAGCAGCTCTGCAGCGGGCATAAAAGCTCTACAGAGAATTATTAAAACTGCCCAGAATATCATCGGGCTCCAGCTACCAGCCCTGGATGACATCTTCGCATCTCGCTGTTTGAGGAAGTTGCACAATATTCTCAGAGACTCTTCCCATCCTGCTTACAATCTTTTTGAACTGTTGCCTTCTGGCAGAAGATAAAGAACAATTAAAACTCAGACCACACGTTTTCTGAATAGTTTTTATTCCAGAGCTATAATTGCACTCAACAATGAACTAAAGGGCCACCATCAGTGAACTGTTGGACAGCATTACTTGGTCTGCTGTGTGATGCTTGGGTGGTTTAGGGATGGGGGATTTTTGGTGGGTGGGGGTGTGTCTGGGGATTGTCATGTGTGTTAGGCTTGGTCTCTGGGTGTTATGTGAATTTCATTGTATGGGCATACTGTGTATATACGTACAATGACAATAAACTTTATATATAAAAAGCAGTTACTCTGATGTATATTTGAGCTTTCTGACAGCTGGTTTCATATTTATCTGTAAGATAATGGTTGTTTTAATTAGCACATTTTTTAAATCAGGGCTTAATTTTATTTTATGTTTTATGTGAGCTAAACTGCCTAGAGCAGGGATCCCCAACCCCCAGTCCATTGACCAGCACTGGGCCACGGCATGTCAGAAACCAGGCCACACAAACAAGCAAAGCCCCATTCACAGGATGCAGGCAGCATGTGAAACCATGTCCCCTCCAGTCTGCGGAAAAAAACTCTCTCCATGGAACTGGTCCCTGATGCCCAAAAGATTGGGGGCCACTGGCCTAGAGGAGGCATGTCCAGCCCACAGGCTGGTTGTGGCCATGGCTAGCAATGTGGCCCCACAATATACATACATACATACTGTGTGTGTATGTGTAGATAGTCCTCAACTTACAACAGTTCATTTAGTGACCAAAGTTATAACAGCACTGAAAAGAGTGATTTATGATCATTTTTTCACACTTATGAGCATTGCAGCATCCCCATGGCCCCGTGATCAGAACTCAGATACCTGGCAATTGGTTCATATTTATGATGGTTGCAGTGTCCGTTGTGATTGATCACCTTTTGCAACCTTCTGACAAGCAAAGTCAATGGGGAAGGCAGATTCATTTAACAATCATGTTACTAACCTAATAACTTCAGTGACTCACTTAACAACTGTGACAAGAAAGGTCGTAAAATGGAGCAAAACTCAGTTAACAAATGTTTCATTTAGCAACATAAATTTTGGGCTCAATTGCTGTTGTAAGTCAAGGACTACCTGTATAGTAAAGTTGTTATTTATATACTTTGCCTATGTTATATATTTTACATGCAGCCCAAGACAACTCCTTTAAATTAGCTAAATTTAAATCTTGCCATAACTTATAAACTTGTAGGGCAAAATGAAAACAATATTAATATAGGAAAAAAATTAAGAAAAAGTATCTGCTATTGTCAGTCTAAAATCAACTCCGAGGATTAAGTAATTTATAATGCATCTAAAACAATATGTTTTATAAACATCATCACATAATATTTTGTTTCCGTCAATGGACCCATAATCTTAAGAAGGCACTGAGCAAAGATCTGGATCAAATATGAAACTTTCTTTGTGATGAACTTTCAAAACGAATGCTCACTTCAAATACTAATTTAAAAGGTCATTGAAGGGATCTTTTAACTCAAATACTGCACTGTCAAAGAAATGAAACCCTTCAACAGACTAAACAGTGATGAATTTTCACTGTTTTCAAAATAAGATCTTCCATATTTATAATATTCGATAGCAGCTTTTTATTGGTTATAAAACCTAAGCCCATATACAAAATTAAGAACACATTTAGATGCCTCTGTTGAAGGAACAATTTACTCTGTTAACTGAGAGTTAAAAAAAAACACAATGCAATTTTAACACTTCTGAAAACTTAAAAGTGCAGCAATATATTTTAGCTTGAATATAAAGACCCCATTCCATGGCATAAATGGAAGAAACTCACATATGGGGTTAGAGATCAGTTTGCCCATTCCTACTATCGACATCTCCTATCAAAAGCAGTTTTGAAGGGTCTCCGGCCCCTCCAGCACCACTTTCTGTGGACTATAGATGGAAGGAGGGAGGAAAGAACAAGTGAAAATAAAAACAGCAATTCTCTCAACACAGTTTCAAGTAACTTCTGCTCTTGTGCAGCAGGATAATTAAATCCAAGCCTTTATCCCTTTCTGAAAAATACAAAATGGTTGAATCTCTATCAAGAGCTGATAAGGTGATAATGAACTGAGAGAAAGACAAGTTACTGTTCTAAATTGATTTTCCTATGTTTATCTATAATGCACTGAGTGCAAGAAATAAATCATTATTCACAGTAGTGAAAAATCATCAGTCTTATTTTGAGTGAAGTATCTAAGACAAGAATATAGGCATAGAGGATACTGTTTACAAAGAGATTTGTTCACATTATTAACTGCATATCTGCTTTGAAATTCCCAAAATTGACAAAATCTAATTTTGATTTTCTTTTTACTTAGTTTTCAGCAAAAACAGCACAATTTCAGGATTTTAGACTATAATGTTAATAGGATACAGTTACCAAATTAATTTAATGTCTGGGTAAAGAAAAAAGGCACAATGAACTTCAACTCAATTTTATGTGCACAGGAGTTGAAAAGTCTGAGCCACCTTAAAGAGAAATTGATTTTAAAATTTATAAAATCTATAAATAGAGGCCAAAACACTGTATTAAAACAGATTATCTAGCAAGTAAAAATCTTGCACTTTAAAACACATACTTGTATCCTTTGCGATACAAGATCACTCTTTAAAGTGGCTCTACCTTGGCAGATATAGTAAAAGAATGAACACCTGCAATGTCTTGCTTAATTGTGGAAAAACAGCTGATCAACAAAGCTTTCTTCATGGCATCTGTCTGTATCTTCATCACAGTAAATACAACCCACATCCAATAACTACGTTACTTTTACGTTTTGTATCCCTTCACATCAAGGCATTGGGAGCAAAGTACATCCAGTGAACAACAGCAACAATATCAGTTTGTCTGATAGCTTACACAGTTTAAATTTCATGTTTACCCACAGCAATCCTAAATCCTCTTTAGAGCCAGGTTGGATAATTTCCCCATTACTCCCAAGTTACCAGCTCAAGTAAATGTCTTCATTGTGAGCTGTACATTTATGCTTATGCTGAATAATAGCAGCTTCCACAAAGCCTCACACAACTAGTATGTATTTTAACTATATGAATAAGTTTATAGACTATTTTTTCTATAACTCTTCCAATACTCCAAAAAGAAGCTATTATGGTGCTTCTAAAATAGTTGCTAGTTTGTTGCCAACCACATCATCGTAAGCACTGGTAAGTAAAAAAATAGTTTAAGACTAAATTACAGTAAACATGAAAGCTCCACAGTTTAAACCAATATAAATCAACATTATTCAGTTATAAATTTAAACCCAAAATATATTGACTACTGAAAGATGAAAGCAAGATTCTTGTCAACCAATGCTTATTTGGAATAGCTTTGTTACTTTAATGCTGGACTCTTGCTTTCAGCTTAAAACAAAAGTTCAAGTCCATAATAGGTGGTAGCTCAGGTAAAATACCATGCACAGCATTTCATTATTTCAAAAAAAAGCAGGAACACACAGGCTGAAGAGTGGTCAAATACAGCTTGCTGTTCTTAGAAATTAGGAATAATGGTCACCTTTTTATTAGTCCAAATACAATGTTCATTCTTCAAGCCCAAGCTTCTAAGGCAGTAATGAACACAATTACTGATATATGTAGTCTGTTTTAAACCAATTAATTACCAAGTTTTTAAGAAGTTTTTTTTTAATGTCAGTATCACCAATGAAAATAATTTGACTTGCTTTTCCTTTATTTATCTTCCACATTAAATATATGAAAATATGTTTGTAGAGGACAACAGTTGAGGCTCAAAAAAATTAAAATAGACTGGGCCTCTCAGAAGTCTTCCAAAATCATACTAAAGAGTCTTGATCCATAGCACGCTATTTCCATAGAAAGCTATTCTTGTGTGGGAAGCCAATGTGCCACCACGAAAAGGTATTCTTAAAACTGTAGACTGCAGTTATCAGCTTGTGGCCTCACGGGAAAAGGAAAAAAAATCAGGGGAAAGGTAGCAGAGACTGTTAAAAAAATTGAACAGTGTACGAGATCATGCATATGCATTTACAGTCCATGTGACAGGTACTTTTGGCAACTGCAAAATGACTGATATACAACTTGCTTTTAGAAGCATCAGACAAAGGGGCATGTGCTTGGAGCCTGTTTTTCCAATGGTAGATATCTGGTTGTGTATTTTACCGATGCAGGGTAGTCAAGCTGCATTGTCGTGAGCTTAAAAATTAAATTCTTTTGTTTGAAGATTGGCTGTTGGATCAAAATTGTAAGTACCTCCTTGTGTTGCTTCAGGAATGAGGCTGGGGTCCTCATCAATCTGCAAAGAAAGTACAGTCTGGAGTAATTGTAATCTTTATTATACAAGTAGGAAAACCTGCTCATCTAATATCTGGTCCAACTTCACTCAGATCTGGGCATTACAGTCACACTCTATCTCTTCAAACATATTAAGTGTTGAAATGTCCCCATACCTTTTGAAAAGCTACAATGAGAGTTTTCCCTTATGTTAAATAAGTAATTCTGTGAGATGTATGGAAGAAGAGGATAAAGTGAGAAATAATAAAGACAAAACAATTTAAAACAAAAACAAACCTATTTTCTATTGAAAATATTCTTGCCCTATAAACTAGCAAGAAAGCTAAGGTGATAAAAAGACAAGAACTATCCTCTAGTAACAGGCATACACCAACCAGTAAGAAAGAAGTCTTCCAGCAACTCTCTGCGCATATCCAAGTTGATGTATCTGTTCCACAGTATCATTAAAGCATTTTAAAGGCTTCTCTTGAAAAACAGGCGGAGGACAAGGATCTGATTTGCAAGTAGCAGCCATCTCACAATGGCTGGGATTTGCAGTTCTCAGCCATAAATTTTGCTTTTGTAGGTAGCCAGATTACTTGTGCACTGAGTGCCCTAGCTCAGTCCTAGATGCAGTGTATGGAAAGTTAATGTATCTTCAATGGGAATAAAAGGACTTGACTTTGGCATAGAATATTATGCAAAAGTTTTTATAATACTTTTTTTATAATCATACTATTTTATAATATTCTGAAATGTCACAGGTACTTACATCATCACCAGAAAAATATTGATCTATTATCTCAAATGCTAGTTTATAAATGTCTTCATTCTCATGTTGTTGCAGTGCTTCTATTTTTTCTAAACCTAGCAAAGAATATGAAAATACAATTAACTTTACAAATTATTATTTTTAATCCACTGATTTTGGCATATGACCTAAGACAGTTCAAATATTTTAAATGCAAATACAGGTATCCATCGTATCTTGCTGCTTTGGTCAAATGATGAAATGCTTTGGTCACACTGCAGGCACCAACCCTTTTGTGTATGCATGTAAGCAACCTTTTAATACTTGTACAAATGAGTATGGCTTATGGCATGACATTTTGTTAATTTGACCCTCCCACACGCACACACGCTTCAGACACTGTTGAAAGGCAGTGGGTATGAAGCGCCTCTTCAAATTTTTAAAATAGTCACATTTTTTTTGCCATGGTTGTTTCATAAACTGCAGCTGTATGTGGGTGTAGCCAGCAGATCTCAATTTCTATGAAGACTTAAAAATACTCTATGGAGAGTTTATCATGAAGTTTAGGTAATTTGGCTCTACTGATATGGCTAATATGAGGAATTATGCTGAGATTTAGGCATTCAGTAATTTCATCGATTCACAATCATACATGTATTTACACAGTAGTAAAATTCAACTGGGCTGACCCTGAACTAAGAGTGTTTAGGATTGCCCCTCAAATGAATAAAATCCATTTTAAAAAGCAGTAGAAATGTGAAATAATGGCAAAGGTCAGATAAGAGCAATCTGAGCTCAAAGCAGGAATGGAATTTGAGAAAATATCCCTGTAACATTTTAACCTTGATTATTAGACAACCCATGACCTGTTAATTGTTTCAGAGATATTTCCTTACCTAAACAGAGAAACAGAATGATCACAGGTGGGCAAGAAAGCGGGAGTGAATTCTGACTTCCTGCTGATTTCCCATTGAGTTTGTTTGTGGGAAACTGGCTGGTAACTTCCTTTCCCCTTTTCCCTCCTATCCTCTTCATTCTTTATTATTTATTAAATTTATATGCTACCCATCTCACTATCCAACATGACTTTGGGTGGTTTACAGTGCCAAAAAATCAAAAATATAAAAGTTAACAACAATTAACTAAAAGCCAAGAAAGATTTTTTTTTGGGGGGGGGTGTTCTGCCAACCAACCACCTCCAACATAGTGCACCCCATTAGGGCCCCAGGGTGCATGGGAGTGTACAGGAGGTACTGCATGGGAGGCGGTGCTGATCAGGGAGAGTGTGTGAGGTTGTGCAAAAGGCGCTACATAGGTTGGGAAGGCTACATAGGCTGGAGAGCAGCACAGGTCATGGAGCACTTCCTCCCTTCCTTTCCTGCATTCAGGTTAAGTGGCTGTTCATTCTCTTGGGAGCTCCGAGTCCTGGATTTTTAGCTCATCTGACGTACCTTGGTTCAGAACTGTTGCCCTATGATGCACCTTTTCACCCAGTTAAAGTCATGACACTGACAGTTTTAATAGTATACAGATACAATCATGACAAGGCTATACTCTGTACCCTACACAGCAACTTTGAAAGGATCACTTTTAAATGCAAACTCTTGGCATGAAGAACAAAATGGGATCCTCTGGGATACTGTAGGCTTTGAACAGGAGTCTCTGAGGGCTACCTAGCATAAGCTTACCAAGATGAGCCAAAATTTCCATATCATGTTTCCACATACAGTACTTTCTCATAAATTGTCTATCCAGGAGTCTTGCAGAAAAGGTGAGATACTAGTCCAGTCATCACCAAGATTGATGCTGTATTCTAAATTGAGAGGTGGAACAGAACCAATAGACGAGGATCTACTTTTTACAGTAACAATCGTATCTAGAATCTTAAGTACCTGCAGAACATACAGAATAATGAAGAAATGTCAGACATGCTGACATTTGAGGGATCCCTCAAGGATTTTCATTCTATTTTAGAGGATCCAATAATCAGAAAAAGTGATCTAACCGTGACATGCAAATAAAAAAACAGATTAAAATAAAAAAGTACATCTCTACTCTCCACTCACAATATTTTCATCAGAATAACAATATCAATTAAATATCACAATAAGTCAATTACGACAGATGGAGGTGGGGTCAAACTCCATCTTACCAAATGAAACCTTACCTCCACATTCTTCTATAATTTCTGCTATTGTGCTTGCCTCATCACCAGCCATTATTAGAATATTTTTTAGGCCATCCAGAACTACCTGCACTACTTGAGAATCTTTCACTTGCAGCAAGTTACAGAATGGTGGGATTACATTCTGCTGTACAAGATATTCAACCTGAGCAATGCAAAAGATATTTACAATTATTTGTGGCATTAGATATAAATCATTCTAAAAATTCTGCATGAATTTCATAAGATACACGAACCTGATCTTTTCTACCACTTATCGTTAAATTACTGATTGCCCAGGCAGCTTCTTTCTGAGTGCCAAAGTCACCCTAGACAATATAAAAATGATTTGCATTAGCAACATAACATCTTATGTTACCTTAACAAAACATAAAAATAGGGAAATCTGGTATTTGACTGACCTTAGCCAATTGGTGAATTATCATAGGGATAAGTCCAGCATCAATTACAGCTTGAACCTGTTGCTGATTTCCTGCAGTAATATTGGATAGGAACCAAACAGCTTCCTACAATGAAAACAAAAGTTGCTTAAAGAGCCTTGATAGTACAGTGGTTTAGTGCACCCTGTCATTAACACAGCTGCCTGCAATTTCTGCTGGTTCGAATCTCTCCAAGGCTCAAGGTTGACTCAGCCTTCCATCCTTTCTAAGGTAGGTGAAATGAGGAGCCAGTTTGTGGGGGCAATAAGCTGACTTTGTATAAAATATACAAAAGAATGAAGGCTATTGCTTAACGCATTGTAAGCCGCCCTGAGTCTCCGGAGAAGGGCGGCATATAAATCAAATTAAAAAAAAAAATACATGAAACTAACTTAGATGGACCAAGTGTGTCATCGGCTGATCTTTGAAACTTCCATTACTTCCATTCAGGTGTATGGTTTTTCCTAGCTTTAATTTTATTTTACTGTGAACTAGAAAAAAAATGAAACACAAAATATTTTACCAATATTCTGTGAGTTACATCTTTTTGCCTCACTGTATACTACTTAATTATAAAAACTTAGATAATGTCTCCTAGGATTTTAAAAGAGACAACTGAAATTTCTCAGTTACCCTGTGGGATTTCTCATACCAATACAGGTGAACTCACTGTATCTCTCTTACAAAGCTACCATGAAAAAAGACTACCATGAAGAAAGGCATTAAAAGCCACTGATTGCTAGGAGTAGTTCTGCTTCTTTTTCTTAGAAGGACCAAGAGGATTTTATACCAAAAGAAAATTGAAATAGGTCTAAAAATAATCCTGGGGATTCTGTTCAGGAAACACATTTTACCAAAAGGATATTCATAATTGGCTGACACTCTACCTACACTCCAAAGATCATTTTAAAGAGTGAATGTATGATGGTTTCTTCAAGGTTGTTAGGACTTTCCTCTTAAAAAGAGGTATTAATCATTTGGATCCAGTAAATAAATCCTCTCTTATTAGATGTTTACAATGAAGACCAAATTTATAATTTGTGAATATATAAATAGTACTTGTCTTTCTCAAGCTAAAGATAAAATACAATCCTTACACAGTTAATTTTTTACATAGTACATACCACTTTTTCCCTTTCCATTAATCAAAGATAGAAATTGACTAGAAGCACAATACTGGATTATACTAGGTGTGAAATCTTTGCACTTCTTTTAGCATTAGGAAAAGAAATCATTCCCTGTTAAATGTTTTAAAAAATGAAACAAGATTACCAAAATAATTTCAGCACTCACCTTATTTATTTTCTCTTTAGGATGTGTCAAAAGATTTGGGAAATGGGAGAGGACATCACAGTTGAGAACAACTTGTGTCTGTTCATCAGTACCCGTTACTATATTGCCAACTGCTCTTAGTGCTGCAGTCTTTAATTTAAGAAATGGTACAATTAACATTCTCTGTACTTTAAAGGGTCTATATTTCATTCTTAGAACTAGTTCAAATATGCTACAGACATATAGATTGAACACATATTGAATTATAGAAATACTCAAATATACATGCCTTTCCTCAAGCTCGCAGACAAAGAACATTGACTGGCTCTATGCACATATGAGAAATGCCCCTCTCTTTTTTAAATGTTAGTTTCAGATTTGTTAGTAATCACAATCAATGCCAAATTCAAATCATATGTATAATGTCAAATCATACAAGAACAGATTACTCAAGAAATATGCTATTGAAATGTCCAGCTCTAGGCTTTATAATGAAAGATGTCGTATTTAATTTAAAAACATTCTATGTCCACACACAGGCATCTTACTGAATTGTGACAACTATTTACATTGAAGCTACAATTATTGACTCAGCGCAGGCAGAAGTAATGGTAAAGACACCCAGCAATATAATTTAAAAAGTAACAAATCCTACAATGAACTAGATAAAGTTCAAATTATTTTAGTGTGCTACCACTAAGATATGTTTGTATTTATATTTTTTGATCCAATGAATTACAATTCTTAGATGTTTCAGAAATGTATGTTTAGAATAAAGAAGCTATTCTGGTACAAATTCAGAGAAGAAACTAACAAAGGAACTTTGTACAGGTAGTCCTTGAGTTACGACCACAATTGAGCCCACAATTTATGTTGTGAAACATTTGCTAAGTGAGTTTTGCCCCATTTTACAACTTTTCTTGCCACATTTGTTAAGTCAATCACTGCATTTGTTAAGTTCGGACCACAGTTGTTAAATGAATCTGGCTTCCCCATTGACCTTGCTTGTCAGAAGGTCTCAAAAGGGGACAATGTGACCCTGGGACAGTGCAACCATCATAAAAATGAACCAATTGTCAGGCATCCGAGTATAAATCACATAACCATGGGGATGCTGCAATGGTCATAAGTCATATCAGGTCATATCAGGTCATATATCATATCAGGTCATATCAGGTCATATCTTGATGACGGGCTTTGGAACCCCGAGAGATGGCATGTGGTGAAGAGGGGGTTGAGGGGTTTTTTAGTTAAATTTTTAAAGAAAATCTTAAGGGGACCCGGGAGGGTGGGTGGGGGTTGTAAAAGCGGACCTGGGGGGGTCCAGATAGCGACTGAGCGGGATGATGGGTCGATTAGTTGCAGCAGGAGGGTCGCGAAAGGAAATTTAACCGGGGAGCAGGGGGATGACAGGAAGGGCTGTGAAATTGAAATAATGAGTGGGAGGGGCAGGTATGACGGACGCAGGGGGTCATATCAAGTGTCGGGGGTGCGCATACGCTGTTTACGAGCGATTGCGCACTCCGGCCCCCAATGCGTGACTCGTGTCCTGGGTTGTGTAGAGTCTCAGGCCCAGGGTCCGTGGCTGATGTTGTGTAATGCCAGGTCGGTGGTTAATAAAGCCCCCCTCATTTGTGATCTTATTTTGGAGGGGGGTGCGGACCTGGCAGGTATTACGGAGACCTGGTTGGGCCAGGAGGGGGGGTCCCCCTCGTTGAGATGTGCCCGCCAGGTTTCCGTACATTTCATCAGCCAAGAGCCCAGAGGAGGGGTGGGGGAGTGGCGGTGATTATTAGGGAGAGTCTTTGTCCGAGGGAGACCACTGTTCCTCAGATAGCCGGATGTGAGTCCCTTTGTGTGAAGTGGGGCCGTGGGGTGCAGATGGGTTTGCTGACTACGTACATGGCTCCCTGCCACGTGGCAGCAACCCTGCCCGAGCTACTCGACGTCATTGCCGGGGTGGCGGTTGATACCCCCAGACTTATCGTCATGGGGGATTTCAACCTTCCATCCGCGGGTGAGGCGTCAGAGGCGGCTCGGGAGTTCATGGCTTCCATGACGGCCATGGACCTGACCCAGTTAGTTCAAGGCCCAACTCACATAGGGGGACACACTCTGGACCTGATTTTTGTCTCTGGTCAGTGGTTGAATGATCTTGGTAGAGGGGACCTAGATATTAAACCCTTGTCATGGACAGATCATTCGCTCCTCCAACTAGACTTTCCTACCGCCTTCCCCCGCCGCAGGGAGACGGAGCCAACCAGATGGTTCCGTCCCAGGCGCCTGATGGACCCCGAAAGGTTCCTGACGGAGCTTGGGCTGTTCCCTGAGACCCTAACACACGACTCGACTGAAGAGCTGGTGGCCGCCTGGGAAAGGGCGGCCGCCGGAGCTTTGGACCGCGTCGTGCCTTTGCGGCCTCTGACCCGACGCCGATCTCAACTGGCTCCCTGGTTCTCTGAGGAGCTGAGAGAGATGAAGCGTCGGAAAAGACGCCTAGAGAGCATTTGGAGGACTAGTCAATCCGATTCCGACCGGACACAGGTGAGGTCTTATATCAAGACCTACCTAGTGGCGATAAAAGCGGCAAAGTCTAACCACTTTTCCGCTCTTATCGCATCTGCAGAGAACCGCCCAGCCGCCTTGTTTAGGGTGACCCACTCCCTTCTCCGGGGGGGAGTGCGGGACGATCCCTTGCAGGGTCGTGCTGAGGATTTTGTGCAATTCCTGCATGATAAAGTCGCTCGGATTCGGGATGGCTTGGACTCCAACTGGATGAGTCCACGGGAGGAGACGAGGGCAGGTCTTGAGAATGTTATCTGGGAGGAGTTTGATCCTGTAACTCCTGAGGATGTGGACAGGGTGCTGGGTAAGATTAGTGCCGCCACGTGTTTATTGGACCCGTGTCCCTCCTGGTTGGTGCTGGCCTCCCGGGAGGTTACACGAGGCTGGCTCCAGGGGATTATAAGTGCTTCTTTGAGTGAGGGTGCCTTTCCTGCCACCTTGAAAGAGGCGGTAGTGAGGCCCCTCCTCAAGAAGCCTTCCCTGGACCCGGCTGAATTAGCCAACTATCGTCCAGTCTCCAACCTGCGTTTTGTGGCGAAGGTTGTTGAGAGCGTGGTGGCACGACAACTTCCCCGGCACCTGGATGAAGCTATCTATCTGGACCCGTACCAGTCAGGCTTCAGGCAGGGGTACAGCACAGAAACGGCATTGGTCGCGTTGGTGGATGATCTCTGGAGGGCTCGGGACAGGGGTTGCTCCTCTGTCCTAGTCCTATTAGACCTCTCAGCGGCTTTTGATACCATCGACCATGGTATCATGCTGCAGCGGTTGAGGGGGTTAGGAATAGGGGGCACCGTTCTGCGGTGGTTCTCCTCCTTCCTCTCCGACCGCTCGCAGTTTGTGTTGGCAGGGGGACAGAGGTCGACCTCGAGGCATCTCACATGGGGAGTGCCGCAAGGGTCGGTCCTCTCACCTCTCCTGTTCAACATTTATGTGAAGCCCCTGGGTGAGATCATCCGTGGTTTTGGGGTGAAGTGTCATCTGTACGCTGACGATACTCAGCTGTACATCTCCACCCCAGACCACCCCAACGATGCCCTTGATGTGATGTCCCGCTGCCTGGAGGCCGTGCGGGCCTGGATGGGGAGGAACAGGCTCAGACTCAACCCCTCCAAGACCGAGTGGCTGTGGCTTCCGGCGCCCCGATATAGTCAGCAGGTGCCATCGCTGACTATTGGGGGTGAATCTTTGCCCCCCACAGAGAGGGCTCGCAATCTGGGTGTCCTCCTGGACGCACGGCTGTCTTTAGAAGAGCACATGACGGCCGTGGCCAGGGGGGCCTTTTATCAGGTTCGCCTGATTCGCCAGTTGCAGCCCTTTCTGGATCGGGACGCCTTGCGCACGGTCACTCACGCCCTTGTCACCTCCCGGTTGGACTATTGTAATGCTCTCTACATGGGGCTCCCCTTGAAGAGCACTTGGAGGCTCCAACTGGTCCAGAATGCGGCCGCGCGGGTGGTTATGGGTGCAACTCGTTGCGCCCACGTGACACCCCTCCTGCGCGAGCTGCACTGGCTCCCAGTGGTCTTCCGGGTGCGATTCAAGGTGTTGGTTACCACCTTTAAAGCGCTCCATGGCATAGGACCCGGGTACCTTCGAGACCGACTTCTGCCACCAATAGCCTCCCACCGACCAGTCCGCTCCCACAGAGAGGGTCTCCTCAGGGTGCCATCGGCCAAGCTATGTCGGCTGGCGACACCCAGGGGGAGGGCCTTCTCTGTGGGAGCCCCAGCCCTGTGGAATGAACTGCCCCCGGAAATACGTAAGATCTCCGACCTCCGGGTGTTTCGCTGCGCTCTGAAGACCCTGTTGTTCCGCCAGGCCGGGCTATTAACATAACGTTTTAAATTGGGGTATTTTAAATTTCTGGGATTTTAATTGGAGCCTAATTATTTAATGATTTTAAATTTTAATTGTTGTTTTGTTTCTGTGTTTTTAAATAGGCTGTACACCGCCCTGAGTCCTTCGGGAGAAGGGCGGTATAGAAATAAAATTATTATTATTATTATTAAGTGTGAAAATTGGTCATGTCACATTTTAGTGCTGTTGTAAATTTGAGCAGTCACTAAATGAACTGTTGTAAGTCGAGGAATGCCTGTAATTTTACTGCAGTGTAAATTCAGTCCATTGTACTCATTTTGTCAACCTTAATGGCAGCCATTTTGGGCTGTCTATTGTAATTTCTTTCAAAGCCTAAAGAGATTGGTTATCTGCCATCTATTTGTTTCAATTAATAAATTTGCTAAACAAGCCTGCTCTGTGTAGGAATGGATTAAAAAATTATACTTCCACAGTTTATTATAGGCATGTATATTTCTTTTTCCAATTTCAGAAACTTAATTAAAATCTTAGCTAATTAATAACATTAGTATGTGTTTATATATAAAAAATCTGCAATAAACCAACAAATACTTATGGATGCAATCTTTCAGTTAATTTGTGTAGTGTACAAACATCATGGTACTCAAGTGATTTTGTTTTGCCTCAGTATAAACATAACACTAAAATGCCATTGCACTTCTTTTGTTCAGAAATTGCAACTTTCGTACTTCTTACGGACCTGGCAAGCTCTCTAATTCTGCTATTTCTGCATTCCTGATCAGACTATAAGAGCCTTTGAAACTTAACCATTTATACAACAAGAATCTGAAACATTTTTGAAGCTGATGGGAGTTACAGAAAGCACATGAGGTACAGAGTTTATGAAACTAATACTGCTTTTTTGAATCCTAGAATAAACTACATGAACAGAGGAGTAGGAAAATACTCAATATTATTGTTCTTATATCAATACACCCACTCATTTAGTGACTGAATTGTGTTCCAACGATCAGGTCCTTAAATAAAATAGTGTCTAACGTGTGTGTGTGTGTGTGTAGGGAGGGAGGGAGGGAGGAGGAGGGAGGGAGGGAGGGAGGGAGAGAGAGAGAGACAGAGAGAGAGACAGAGACAGAGACAGAGACAGAGAGAGAGACAGAGACAGAGACAGAGAGACAGAGACTCTCTCGTTTGGATAAAGTTTTCTCAGATAAGTATACCAGCAATGCTGACTCCAGCATGCATAGTCACCAGCACACAAAATGTGTTGTAAATGTATGAACTGGTCCCAAATGATTTTTTTATTATTGTTTATTACCATCGTATTTGTGAATGGTTGCTAGTTAAGGTGTTACTAAATAAGGAATGGCTATAGTAATTTGCTAACAAGCTTTTATGGACATAACTTAGTATATTCCCCTTCTTTCATTTGGAACAACCATACAATTACTCAGTTTTCTACCGATGTAGTCCATAAAATATGTAATATGCATTGAGAAAACACCTATGCCTTAAGGAAATTATTTGTCTAAAAGATGGAGTGTACAGTAACTTTAATAAACATACATTGACCTGTTAAGTTAAAAAAAAGTAGATGTAAATCAGCATTAAATACTTTCTCAGCACCTGGCTGACCTTGATTTGGGCTCAGAAACTAAACAGGGTTAAGCCTGATTAGCATTGGGATGAGAAACCACCAGGTCATCCCAGAGCAATACTGATTACCAGGAAGTAAAAAAAAAACTATCCTGGAAGAAGACAGTGGCAAATATTGTCAGATTATTGCCATGAAACACTGCATGGATGTATCTAATAGACAGCAGAAGTTGAGCTTGAGTCAAGAGCATATTTAGGGCATGTCAAATTTTTCAACTTTCAATTTCCAAACATTAGGGATGCTCAAAAGTTGTGACATGCCTTGGGGATTGTAAATATAGTTTGGTTACTTTAATATAATTTAGATGTGCATGGTAAGTAACTACATAAATATCGTAACTTTTAACATTTTGTTTGTTTCATTTGAAATACAGCATGTTTATTGAGGAAGTATATTCAAAACACTCTTCAATGTTTATTTAATATATTTGCCTTTAAATAAGTGGATTTGACATACAAATAAACAGATGTTATCCAACAAAGATGTCTGAATTTTTGTCACTGATATACATTTTGTAATGTCATATCACATTGTACAATACTCAAAGCTTACCTGAACTTTTACTTCCTGATGGCTCAGCAAGGGGACTAAAAATGGTACTACACCTGAATCTATCACCATCTGTATTTGTTCATTCCCACCATCTGTGAGATAGGACAAAGCCCAAACAGTGTCCACAAGAATCTGTGCAAAGAGGACAGGTTATATATTAATGTAAGATGGTAATTAACTTCTGAATCAGATTTTCTATGCACAAGAGTTTCAATTTATTACAGATTTTATATGTATTCTCTAAATTGCTTTCTATGATTTTCTTTGCTGTTTTTTCTACTCATCAAGGAATATTTAAAAATTCTACCCCAAATAACTCAAAACATCTGAAGTGATGGCAATATTACTAACATTTAAAGAAATCAAGCAAAGAGAAAATGTTTAACCCTTCCACTATACATTTATTTTTCCTAATTGTTATAATTTTAATCCTTACTTTTGCATGAAACCAAACTGTGCCAACTCAGTAATCCAAACACATGAGCACAAGCTGAATTTCTGACATATAAGTATTGTATGAGTCAAACAAAAGCAATACAAAACAGCATCACCCCACAGCAGGATTCAGTATAGCATGATATTTTATGTACAAGTGATTTGACTGCATCATAACTTCTACCATATAAGGACCACTTATAGATCACCAGCAACAGAAAATTAACACATAAATAGAATCACATGCATCCCTGCACAAGGCAACTGATTTCCAGGTGTCTACCAGTTGCAGTATTTATGAAAAAGTAAACATATTTGGCAAGTAAGTTTTTATAGCAGCAATTAGGCAAAATGTAACTAATACAGCTATTGATTTAATAAATAGTAATCTCCAGGAGAAAGAATATTCCTTTAGGATTTACTTACATTTATATCTGTATGATATATTAGAACACACAAGGCTGGTAAAATCTGTTGAGAAAAAAGGATTACCAAAGGCCATTAATATTTGGAAAGCAAAAATACAATATATCTTTCACAGTTCTCAACCTACACCTATTCGTTTAGTGATAATTTGAAGTTACAACAGTAGTGATAAAAAAGACATGACCATTTTTCACACTTACAACCTTTGAGCATCCTCTTGATCATGTGACCAAAGTTCAGATGCTTGGCAACTGGCATCTATTTATGATAGTTGCAGTGTCCCGGGTTATGTGATCGCCTTTTGTGATATTCTGACAAGCAAAGTCAATGGGGAAGCCAGATTCACTTAACAACCGTATTACCAACTTCACTTATCACCTGTGGCAATAAATGTTGTAAAATGGGGCAAAACTCAACAAGTGTCTTGCTAAGCAATAGAAATTTTGGGTTCTATTGTGGTCATATGTCGGGAACTACCTATATAATCTCCAAGCTAGTGAGGTTATTTTACTTGTGTGGTTAAGGACATTTCTCAAGTAATATAAACTACATGGCAGTGGATTCAATTTTTAGAGGCACAGTTTTCACACTACTATCTTAGGTTCAGACAGATCTGGATTCAAAGCTTGAAAATTTCCTTAAGTAATTGCAATATTTCAGAGATTTCCCTGAATATGCCTTAACAGTCAGTATTTCCTTCACTAACAAAATTCGACTTGGAAGTCACAGTTAAATAAAATAGAAAACAAACCTAATGAATAACTAGTTATTGAAACAAGGCTCAAATGAATAGGCCTTAAGACAATGTATCATATATTATGGGAAAGGTGATTTGCAGTGCAGCTGAGCTGCAAAAGTACACATTGGTAGTTCTTTATTTACCTCCTGAACTGTCTCCATAGGTGGTGGGGGATCCTTATTCCTGCAGAGATTTACAATGACCCATGTGACGTTCCGGAGAAAAGTGATGGGAATGGAGGGGTTGATGAAGGATAGAAGCGGTTTGACAACTCCCAGTGATATGACATAATCTCTACACTGAGGACCATCACCTACAGAAGTGAAAATTTAAAAAAAAATTATATTCATAATGCAAATTCTTGGAATGTATGCAGTGACATGTATGGGCACTGATGTTCTGTGACACAGATTCTATGTTTCTCCATTAGAAACTGCTCAGCAAAAATCTAATTGCACAATTTTGCATTTATTTACGATAACTTAAGCTAAATTCTCCAAAACATATTTTATTCTGCTGCAGTAGTAAAAAACAAAAAATAGATCTTGGAGAAACATAGTCTCATCAGGTAATGCCAATGTATAAGATTAGAGTTTAAAGCCTTCAATGCCATTGAATTTGCTTTTTAAAATACTATTACTTACCAATAATATTCCCAAGGGCCCAAACAGCTTGTTCACAAACATTTTGATGCGGTGAATGGAGCAATCTTAAGAAGAGAGGTACTGCATCTGTAATAGAGGTATGCTTCAGTGAAATGTGATCTTCAAGACACATATTGCATTTTGGTACTTAACAGAAACAAAAATAACACAAAAGTAATAGATGAAATTCATCTAATGTTAACTGGGAACTAGATTCCATGCTATTTCAGGAGGAAAATGAGTGAATTTTTATAGTAAGATATAAGCTACTTTAACCATCCAGAAATAACTACTTGCTCTATAACACAAAAGATTATGCTTTGCAAAAAAGAATGTATTTATTTATAGAGGATAATTCCCAAAATCCTCTCCTTGAAATGGGCTGAAAGATAATATAAACATTTGCAATCTTCTTGGAACAATAATTTCTGACTGACTATACACTCTTTCATTTTCTGTCACTAAATTCAGAGGATAGGAATTGTGCATTTAAAATATTTCAGTTTCACCTTATTATTTATTATTATTATTTATTTATTTATTTATTTGATTTATATGCCGCCCTTCTCCGGAGACTCAGGGCAGCTTACAATGCGTTAAGCAATAGCCTTCATACTTTTGTATATTTATACAAAGTCAGTTTATTGCCCCCACAAACTGGGTCCTCATTTAACCTACCTTAGAAAGGATGGAAGACCTTGAGCCTGGTAAGATTCGAACCTACAGTAATTGCAGGCAGCTGTGTTAATAACAGGGTGCTTTAAACCACTGTACTACCAAGGCTCTTCTAACCCAGGAGCTAATTTCAAGATTGTATGAACATTTATTCATATTTGTATTTACATTTTCTCGGTTAGGGTAGTAGCAGATAAATCATTCATAATCAACATTTCTGCAAGGCATCAATGTCAACCTTAGCATCAGAGATATGCCTTAATTCATAGGAAAGGCCTCAAATAAGGAGGCTATCTAGCTATCATTGTGACTATTGCCATGGTTGGGAATAGGATTCATTTTCCCAATCAAATCTAAACATTATGGGAGCAAAGATAAAGAAACACAATAATTAAGATATAGGCAAGTTTTTTATAGATGATAGAGCTCTTTAACATAATCAGGTCTGAAATTGTTTAAAATAGGCAACAGCATCCCATTCCCCAAAGATGTATTAATGATTGCATGGACCCAATAAATGGCACCTCCCAGGAGGCCTTAACTAACCAAGAGAATATGGATCAAAAACATAGATGGTTCAGTCCAAAACTCCAGAACCAATAAACTCCTCCCAGATAACTTACATATATACAGGTTATACAGTCTATGGCATGTGAAGGTTATATAAAGTATGTGCCAAATATTTACATGAAGAGGAAATTATATATGCTTATTATATTGTTAAAAGGTACTTCATTTGAATATTAAATATTTAAAACACTTACTAGACTGTACAACAGCTTGAGTCTGTAAAGAAGTGCCTGATGCTATGTTAGTCAAGGCCCAAGCAGCTTCAAACTGTAAGGAAGGACTGTTTATAAAAAGACAAAAATACAATATAGTAGCAATGACATCTACAAACTGCAACAAAGAGGTATTCAGTTATTATGAAAGCATTAATTTACTACTCTATAATTTCCTATATCCATTCCTTATGTATGCTATTAAAATATCCCTGAAAAGTGACCTATTTTTAATGATAATTTCAAGAAATTATGAGCTGTATAGTAATGCACAAATGTTTATTTTGGCAGAACATCAATGCGTATTAATCTCCTGGCATAACTTTTTATTTGACAGGTTGCCTTTTTTCTCCCTGGATTTTCTAATATACTGAAAACTGTTGCAGCACTGTGGATGCAATCTGAACTATTCAATAATTGAGTATGGCTCAAAACTTTGATGGCTTTTAGCACAGCTGTGCACTGATATAGAGTGCACAGACCATTTTGCACACTTGTTGTAGTCCATTTGTCACACAGGTGACTTTTCCTGTACATACTAAAGAAGTTCATCCTATCCTCTCTAAAAGTAGCTTTTGTAACCCACTCCAGTGGATTAATAGAAAGATTTACATTTCAAAATAACTTCTGTCCTGGGGTGGTGGGTAATCTTGAAAGCCATGGACGTTTTTTGAGAAAGTAAGATTCACGCTGGGCATGGCAAGAATGCAAAGTGGGGAGGGCTTGGATTTTCCATTGTTTCCCCTCAATTTTATGTCCTTTTGGAGGGTGTTATTTTTGAAGCTAAATTAAGCTTACTCTGTTTGCACTAAAGTTTCCTGTATTTCAAAATGAAGATAACCTTGCTGCCCATGGTCATATGGGACTCCCAGACAACAACAACAACCAAAAGTCTATGAAGGTTTCATGCAGATTTGGGATCTCAAGTTTACCAACCCTGTTTCAATTCATACAGGTGAAGGCAAGAGTACAATGCTGAAGCTGTTTTTCAAGTTAATCACTGTGGTCGACATGTAAGAATATAATATGAACCACGCTTAAAGCTGTATTTAAAATGATCCAAGTAGGAAGCCATCACCACAAAATGTGATAGCAAATTCCTATCAGCTAACTGTACAATCTCAAATGTAATTTAAAAAAAGTTTTTCAGTGGAGGAGTTCCAATCTTTTCAAATCTGTTGGTTATTTGTCTTTTAATCCATTTCCTGGCCTATATTAAACTTTTGGGGATGTAATGATAAGAACAGTAAACAATATTCTAAATGAAGTAACATCTTACGTAATTTATATAAAGGCATTACATAATCTTAATCCTGAAGGTGGTGATGAGACCTTTAATAAGATCTTATCAGATAGGCAGATTCAATTTGGAGAAGGCAGTCATGGAAATAACTAGGACCTGAGCCATGTAGGACTTTCAAGGTGTAGTACCTTGAGTTGCATTCAAAAGCCAATGAAGCTCCCACAGTCGTGATGTTACATGGGGGAACTTTAGTGCACCATAATTACTTGGACTGCTGAATGAAGCAGAAGTTCTTGATAATCTTCAAGACAGCCCCATGAACAGCACACTACAATAATCTGCTGATGAGATGACAAGAGAATGAGTGACTTAACTGAGTGAGGCTTTTTGATCTAGGAAAGGTCACAAACAGCTGACAATATGTAATTGTGCATAAGCCTTTGCATCTTCCCCTGCTATTTAAGCAGGAACTGTAAGTCCAAAAGAACCCTCAAGTTGCAGACAATTCCATTTGGGTAGTGTTACTCTGTCCACAGTCAATGATAACTGGATTCAGTCAGCTTTCAAATCTAAAGCCATTCAGTTTGGTAGAATTAAGTCTAAGCCTGTTTCATCTCATTCTTAATATAAATTAAGTCACTTTAAACAACCTTGCTGAATGGTTATCCAGATATAATAAAAGCGAGAGGTAAGCTTGCTTTGCTACTTTATTGCCACAGTATAGACTTGAACCTCTCAACCATGTTCGGTGACATTCATTAACCTGGCTACCTACTTATTAAATCCCTGCCCCTACTGGTTGGTGAAGGCCACCTGAGGTGGGGGCAGGGGGAAGGAATGTGAGGTGTAGCTGGGTCCATGAAGCAGTGCCTGTTTAGTTGGGAGAAGAAGTTGTACTACCTGCCTTGAAGGTCCTGTAAGGTGCTGTCTTAAAAGATAACCAATTCAGACAGTAGCATCATGAGCAGTTATGGACATGCCACAGTATGACCATATAATGCCTCTATTTCATGAGCTGCCATGGTTATCTGTAAGCTTTTGGATGCAAGGTACCGGTTATTGCTTATAAAATCTTCCATAGCATAGAGCCTGGTTATTTGAGAGACTTTCTGTCTTCCAAAGTTTCAGCCAATCCTATATAATCCAGTATAGTAGGAATACTCTAGATACCATCAATCAAACAGGGCAGTATGGTGGGACCTAGGAAGAGGGCATTCTTGTTTATTAAATAAGTTAGGCCATGATCATCTGGGCCCATAGTTGTGATAGTGATTGTGAATTTTCAACCTGCCTCTCCCAGAAAGGTAAGTTGAATTCTCCAAGACTGAAAGATATAGAGAATGCCAAAACCAACCCTGCGAGAATGTCAAACAGTCCATCACAAACACACAGTCCTGACTAAGGGCTATAATGAGGGGAAAAAAAACAGTATTCCAAGGATATAAATCAAAGAGAAAAATAAGCCAAAGGCATTTTTACCTACTAGAATTAGAAGGACAGCCCTATTATATGGAACAAAAACTGACAAGACTGAAAAGAAAACACTGAGAAAGGAATACAGATATTGATGACTACATGTAGACTGTGCTGAAGGAGCACAATTTGTGCAGAATTTGTAGAATGACTGTGCAATGTAACATCGGGCTTGGCCTAATCTCTTCCCTTTTTAAATATGTAAATTTTAATCTGTTTTTAAATTATTGGGGTATTTTAATTTGTCTGGGCAAAAAAATTTACTTTGATTTTATCGGGTTTTTAAAATTTTGTGTATTTATGTATTTTATTGTTGGCTGTTCACCGCCCTGAGTCCTTCGGGAGTAGGGCGGTATACAAATCAAATAAACTAAACTAAACTAAACTAAACTAAATAAAAACAACCATCATAATCTGTAAATTTATTAATGTTAAGATGTATTTAAACTAGTGAAATAATATTATTACTGATACAGACAAGTGTTCAAAATAAAAAGTACATTAGGAAGAGTAATGTTTTAGGGTTCTTAACTGCAGCCCTTCAAGAAAAAAAACCTTTCAATTGATATTATAAACATTCAGAAAAAAGCACTACTTACTTGTCATCCCTTTCTAGACATTTAACCAATATTGGTAAAATTCCAGACTTTATTAAATCATCAATAGGAGGATTTCTATCACTTGATAATAATTTTCTGTAAAATTAAAACAAAGCTAATCAATAAAAATACAATATGAGGAAATGATTAATAATGCTTTAAGTCTTTCAAATAAAATAAATGCCTACCTTGCAGCTTGAACAGCACTCAGCTGGATAATAGGATTATCACTAGTAGCATTCTACAGCAACAAATAGATTTCAAAAAATTAGATCAAGTATTAAACAAATCCAGCTGAAAATAATAATAATTGTTATCAACTTACCTGTAATATAGTTTCTAGTGTAACATTTTGCTTAAAAAAGAGAAGAAATGGTTTAGTTCCAACTCTCATTAGAATTCAGTATTCTCAGAAAAATAACTAGCCCATTAATTTTAAAATAATGTTACCAGTGTATCAAGACCCCAGAATGAATGTTTCCATTTTCTTTATTAATCATACCAAAAATGAAAGAAACATAAATAGAAATAAGAACTTCAATACAATGTAAGTATTAATGGCAATATAATTGAGACTCAGATATACAGGCTTTGCTGATTATTCTGAATGACAACCACTATAAGTTTTATGTGGCCAATTGTTAGAAATCAGAGATTGTCCAAAACCTCTAGCAGGTATCTTATCAACCTATTTCAATCTAAATTAACAAAATAAGAAATATAAACTCAATATATAATGTATGAAGGAAAAAAGGAGAAAGGAAATATTACCAATGTGGTCTTTAGTTTATCTTCCACATATATTTCCTCTTTTCTTTATAGGTTTCAAAAAGTGCTCTTTATTCTAGGGAGATTACATCATCCTTCTCTCAGTGAGAGAAACTGGATTGAAGAGAATATTATTCATGATTGGCCAGCATGCTAAACAATGTTATGATATTGGAAAAAATAGTCAAAAGGGAATGAAATCTGGGAGTGGAAAATAGATAGTCCTTGATTTACTATCACAATTGGGACTGGAATTTTGCTAGCTAAGAGATGCGGTTTTTAAGCAAATTATCATATAACCAGAACTATTTTTTGACCATTTTTACCATGGTCATTTAGGCAAACCATGTGGTCATTAAGTGAATCACAGTCATTAAGCAAATTTGATTTGCCCCATTGATTTTGCCTGTCAGAAGCCAGTTGGGGAAGGTCACAAATTACAATCGCGACATCAAGACACTGCAACTATAAATACTAGTTAGTTGGCAAGCACTCAAATCATAATCATGTGACTGTCGGGGTTTAATATATTAAACATTACGAAGCACTGGACACCATGGAAAAGAGGCAGTGATTCATTTAATAGAATTAACTTCTTAATATAATTGTATGATTGATTGATTATATAACTGAAATAAGCAAATGGAAATCCACCAAGATCAGTTTGAAAGAGTAAAGGAAGGACAATTAGAAATAGTGATTCCATTAATTAAATAACTTACTGCTTTGAAGTCAGCATCAACATCTGAATCTTCTAAACTTTCTTCTTGGGGCACATTTCTTTTTTTCAACAGATGTTCATCTCTTTTGTTCTGAAATGAATATTTTAATCCTTTTTAATGTTTATTTATTCTTCAAAGTAAATTTTAAATAAGCTTTACATGTATTAATATTAGTCATGCAAAGTTCTGTAACTGATAAATCCTTTAAATACAAAGGATTATATATTTATATCTATGATTGAAAAGTTACCTATATGAGTAATGTGAAATATATAAATAAATATTGTGAATGGGTCCATTGATCGATTATGTGCCATCAAGGTGATTTAAATTCTTACCAACAATATACATAGATTTTCTCCATGACAATCTGTTCTTAATGTTGTCAATGGTATACCCATTCCCACTGTAGCTTAGGCCAGGGATCCCCAACCTCTGGACCGTGACCCACTAGTGGGCCGTGAGGTGTTTACAACCGGGCTGTGGAAATGGCGGGCAAGCGTGCACACACATTTGTTAGTTTTCTTGACTGTCCACAATATTCTCAAGAGTCTTCTCTAAGACAAAAGTTCAGAAGTATCAATACTCTTCCTATCCTGCATTTTCAATGTCCATCTTTCACTTTCATTGAGTATAATATGGAATACCATTGCTTGCACTTTTCTGATTTTTATAGGTAGAGTATAGAACGTACTTGTGTCTAAATATCTTTTCCAAAGCTTTCAAGCCTGCTTTACCTAGTGTTAGTCTGCAACATATTTCTTGACAAATATTCTGGAGGAGAACTTATACTAGCAGATGCTAGAGATGTTATTCTATGTGTACTTTCATACAAGCAGGCAGGAAAAATGTAGATAGTCTGGGATGTTTCTGAATTTAATACAATTTAGTACTCAATTAGTAGGTCTGAGTTGAGAGAGGAGAACTCAAAAGATTGTGTCACATTAATGTAAAAACTATAACTGAAAAAAAAATAACAATCAAGTCTTAAATTACTGTAATCAAAACTAATTCAGCAATATATTGGATGAAATGAACTGCATAAAGCACATATGTCCTGTTTCAGTCCACACGCATCTGGAGAAGCCATCACATGTGTGTAAAAGGTAAAAATACAGATTTTTCATTTTGGGTCACTGTAAAAGTTAATGACAGAAGGTAAAGTTTTTCACTCTTTTGTGTAAAAATTCTTACTACTCAAAGTAATCAGAAATAAGGATCTTGTTTACTCCTCTCTTTTGTCCCTTGCTAATAAACTAAAGCACCCAAAGGTTTGTCTTTATTATCAGATTTGCTAATAAAGAGTCTTCATTTGCTGATGATAAAAATTCAGTTAAAACACGGTCTTTTTAGATATTCATAAAGAGTAATGAAATAATTATAATAGATTTAAATCAATTAACAAATAGGAGCATTTTAAAGCTATGTTTGCATTTATTGTAGAGTAATACAAACAATTATATTTCAATACTAAATAGTCCTTAGTTCCAATAAACAGTTTTGAGTTTCACTAGAACTGTTTCAATGCTATTTTACCTTTACCAGAAGTGTTCCAATCTTGAAATAGCCCAACAGATTTTACAGGACTGTTCTGAGATCAAAATCATTCTAATTAGGGTTAGAATGGTTTTAGTGAGGCTACAAACACCCGTTTTGTGTCTGAACAGTTTGTACTCTTGAATGTTTTGTTCTTCTATTTAATTCTAAACATATTTTAACAGACTTATATTTTTAATATACTGAGTATAAGCAACAGCTGCTACTTAAAACAGCACTCGGCTACTTTATGTGTTTTTCACTATTTCTGTACTAAACAGAATACATTACTTAGAAATAAGTATCTGTGAGTTCAATAGGGTTTACTTTTAAGTGCATTTATACAGAATTGCACACTTCAAAATAAAAAACCAAGTAGTAGTAAATAATGGCAAGAAAATAATCCTTGAAAATACTGAAGTGGGGACTGTACATATGCATAATTAAACAAACTGCTTGTTTAATATTTTGTATAATTCTCTCATCTCAAATTTTAATAATGCATAGAAAATAAAAAAAGAGTTCCATACTCGTTCGTCTACTATCTCCATTTGATCTTAGCGCCACAAAAGGAGATGAAGAAGCAGAAAGGTAGTTGCTTCTCTTCTTTCCAATCTGGTGTTATGAATGAGGTACCGGTAAGTAGCACAACTGTAGCTGCTCCAACCACATCTCATTAAACTTTTTCTCAATTAACTTGGGTTCCTTTTCTTCCTAACGGTTGTTAGTACAGACTAACTGGCAAATCTGTTGAGTCGATTTTCCCATTCTTCCTTGGCTTTTTTTTTTTTTTTTTTTGCCTTTTACTTACTTAGGGAAAGGAACCTTTCCCCTCCACCCTAGTGCTTCCACCAAAATTACCAACTGTTTAAAAGTGGGAAAAAAGTGTGCCTCTGGAATAGAGGAAGGACCATTGTACAAAATAAAATTCACGAGTTGCTTTAGCAGTGTTTCCCAAACTTGACCCTTTGAAGATGTATGGACTTCAACTCCCAGAATTCCTCAACCAGGCATACTGGCTGGGGAATTCTGGGAGTTGAAGTCCATGCATCTTAAAATAGCCAAGTTTGGGAAACACTGCTTTACTGGGTTAATCCAAGCACAAAGTTTTTCTCAAAACTCTTCTCTTCTCTTCTACTCTTGACATTAAATTACTTAGTTTAACAAAATGGTTTTACCTGCACTTCATCTATGCCACCAGGTCAGGTTAGCTCAAATTTTATTCAGAAAATGATTAATGTTTTCAGAAAAATAAGGTGTTTCAGACCAGAGCTTTGAAAACAGTTAGTGAAAAGTAATACGCAATAGGAACCTAATTTTTGCAATTTCCTAGAAGAAATGGTGATGATATAAAAAGAAAGATTGAAAAAAGCAAATTCCATGAGTGACCAGAACAATGACTGATTGGTATTGTAAACTTTAGGCATTGATCCCATTAGTGACTTGTAAAAAACAGAATAAACAGCAACACTATCATTTAAAGGGTTAAGAAATGCTGCAGTTAAATGTACCAATAGTGACTCAAGAAACTGTAATTAAAACCCACGGAAAATAAACTATTTTTTGAAGAGACACTATTGGTGTTCTCAGCACCACTAGGAAAAAAAATGAAGGCATTTCCTTGCCCTATTTCTCCAGTAACCTCAAATGATCAGCTAAGGCTCTCCCAATTTTAAGAGCCATGTGAACAATTTTAGCTAAATGTAAATAATCCACGATTAGAAAAAACAATACTATCTGTGAAATATTTCTACAACATACTGATGATTTAACATAACATGAAAATGCACCCAGGGTAGAATTTATTATATACTTACTTTTCTAAGTTCAATTGTCACTTCATTTCTATGTCTTCGCATGGTCTGGAAAAAAAAAATAAAGTCACTAACATGAGGTACAGAAATGAATGCACTTGTATGTTTGCTATATTTGTAAACCACCAGATGGGAGCCAGTTTGGTGTAGTGGTTAAGGCATCAGGCTAGAAAATGTGAGGCTGTGAATTCTAGTCCTGCCTTGGCACAAAACCTTCTTGGGTGACCTTGGGCCAATCCCTCTCTCTTAGCCCTAGAATGTATGCTAGAGCAAATCACTTCCAAAAAACCTTGCCAAGCAGACAGTCTCTGAGAATTGGACATAATTGCATGGGAAAAAAATCAGATAGAAAAAATATCTCCTAGTGATTTATATCACAAAAACATGAAACACTTTAAAAAACTAAGATTAAGATATAATACAAATGTATCATAATGCAACAGGCATGAGGATGGCTATTCACTGTCCCAAAGCTCTCAGAAGCAGCCCTGCGTGTATTAACTTCCATAAAGCCAGTGTCTGAAGTAATCCTTCAGATTCAAAGGATACAGATTATTCAATTTAATCCTTTGGAAATGTTAGAAAATTCACAATTGCACTACATATTATGAAACTACATGCTATAGGCCTGTTGATTTTCTTGAATGGCGGAATAGAAAATGATTTAAAGTGCAGATCCTCTACTCAAAACTTTTTCAAACTCTGTTCCATAGGACTCTAAGGTATCCCAAGAACCTGATAAATTTCCATGGGAATTAAGCCCTCCCCCTCAAAAAGGTCCCCTCAAAGATAGCTAATTTTCAATCAGTACATTTTTCCTTCTTGATTGTGGGTTCTGGGATTCTTTTTACAACAGATTCTGCAGTCTGGAAGTTTCAAAACCTTTGCCCTACTCTATACAGATAGTCCTTGACTTTTGCTTGTTTAACAATGATCCAAAATTATGACAGCCATGGAATGGGTGCTTTACGGCCCATAAAGCACTTCTGGCCATCGCAAAACATTGCACCACAACCCCCATGGAGGTTGAGCTGGGTACTTGGCAACCTGTTCTCACTTATGACCAGTTGCCAAGCGACTCGCAATCGTGTGATTACTATTAGCAATCTTCCCTGCCAGTTTCCCCAGAAATTCAATGAGGAAGTCAGCAAGGAAGGTGGCAAGCTGCTGTCGCCTACCACAGAAGTGAAATTCCCTCAAGACAGGTATTTCTTTGAGAACCAAAAGGAGGGGGAAAATTTCAGCCAACCCAGTTGAACTGAGATTCTCCTTTCTCACAGGGAGCCCTCCAAGAGCAAATGAACTGCCCACCGAGCTATAGAAACAGAAGTCAGATTCCAGGATCTGACTTCCAGTCCTGCAGCTCTTCAGAGGAGTTCCCTTCTGCACATGAAAAGGGAGTTGAACCTGGCAGGCAACTCTTTCATTCCGTCCACTTAAGACCCAGGAGATCGCTAAACAACCATAATCAGGAATGCTGGAATTGAGGTTGTTGAGCAAAGTCATGTGAGTGTCTCACTTAACAACTGCTTTGCTGAATGGCCAACTGTAGTCATAAGACAAGAACTACCTATGCTTCTCTTTCCAGAAACACCTTAGAAAAATGGTTCTGACAAAGAACAAACAATACATGCAGAGTTGACTCCCTAACAAAGATAAAGAAGCTGTTTTGAGAAAAAAAATACAAAGCAAGCCTTGCTATCTATCCTTCTCAAGCAATGACATGTACTTATTGCACAAAACCTGATGGAAACAACAGCCTGTATTTTAAATACTCATTGTGATAATGCAACTTTAAGTTGAGATCTATACTATATATGCAACTATAGGAAACAACATAAAAATATACCTACATAAAGAAGAGAAATGCTACAGAACAATTGCAAGAAATCAGAAGGAGGTTTTCATCCATTTCAAAAGGAATTTCATCCATTAAAAAAAAAAACTGGAAGTAACAAAAAAATAAAAATTAAATAAACAAATAAAATATAGTACAAAAAAGGTTAATAGCCCTGTGTCTTGCTTAATTTTCTACTGGGCTACTCAATGGGAAGCAAAACAAATTATGGAAGTATAATTTTGACACCATATTTCTGCATAATTATAAGCTGAGATTCCTGCTGACCATGAATGCATTCTATTCCTATTCACTTGTAAAGCAGAGTAAGTTTTTGTTGCCAGTATGTTTCACTTTAGTAATGAAAAATAAGCCATGTTTCTGACTATACAGATATACCAAGCTATCGATTTCTTTTTTTTAAAAAAAATGGCATTGTATATTTTTATTACTGTCTTATGTTACCTCTGAAATTCCCAGTCACTGTTTTATTTTTTTATGGTACAGGTTGTCCTCACTTAACAGCGACATATGGGCCCAGACTTTAGATCATAATCATTGCAGTTGTTAAGTGGCTCACTACAAGTTCTGACTCAACTGTATAACCATTTTTACAAATGGTCATAACGTAAATCACTATTATTATTAAGTGAATGATGTGGTTGTTACATGAATCCATTCAACTGAATTGCCATTTTTGTGAGAAACTGGCAAAAAAGCCACCAGAATCTGGCCAGAAAACTTTACAAGTTGTGGTCATGTGACTTTGGAATGCTGCAATCAGTCATAAATTCAAGCCATTTGCCAACTGCCTGGATTTTTTCTTCCAAAAATCATCAGAATAAAATCTGTGATTTTAGAAAATATCAACATATTCTTGATTGAGGGGTTGGTAATAGATATCATATACAAGTTGTCTTTGACTTAACAACCATTCAAACTTATGACAGACCCTCAAAAGGCTACTTACAACCCAGTTTTGAAGTTCTGATGTTGGATGCCTCTGGCAGTCGTTTGACTACACTTTGGGGAATTCAGCAATCCACCTGTTTTTACGGCTGTTTGCAGCATCCCACAGTCACATGACCGTGATTTATGATGGTTTTGCCAAAACTGATGTATACTACTCTTTCTGGCAAAACCTAGCCCATAGCAAACAATGGGTTCACATAACAACTATGGTGTTCACTTAATGACCCTCACAAAAAAGGTAAAAATTAGTTCAATCACATGGTACTTTACGACTGTCATGAACATAATTGCCAAGCTCAATTACAAGTACTACCTGTACTTTTATTTATTTTAATCCAAATGCTTTCAACAACATATTGTAGATTCCATCTCCCTTTCTATTGCTATGCTTCTTCCTTGAAATACACTATAGTTGCTGTATTCATAATAATAATTCTACCAGATCTCCTTGTATCTGTTAAAACAGTATCTGTTTTCTTGTACTAAGACATCTTGTACTCCAAGCAATATTTTAGACATACCATGAAGACCTTTTTTTGAATCAATATTTTTTCTTAATTTTTCATTAGGGAGATTTAATAGACTTCATACAGCTGCTCTCATTTTCTTCTACAGTACAAAAAATTTATTTGAAGTTCTTCAAGGTTTTTGTCTCCAGTCCCAAGATAAATAAATAAAAAAATAATAATAAATAAGTTTATCTTATTCAAGATAAACTATTGACAGTAAGTGCTTAGGAACACACACTGTACACATATTAGGCAGGAGCTCTTTAAATAAGCCACATCTTTTTCATGCTTGGTGCTGTTTTAATGAATCACATTAATTCTGTGGTTCCTTTAAAGATGTGCTATGTTCATATTCCTGAACATTCTAATGCACTTTGTTCCAAAATTTTTTACTACCAGTTCTGTGGGCGTGGTTTGCTTGGTGGGTGTGACTCGGTGGGCATGGCTTGGTGGTCATGTGACTGGGTGGGCATAGCTGGGTAATCATGTGACTGGGTGGGGATGGCCAACTTGACGTCACTCATGTCAAGGGTTATGGTTAGGGTGCCTGGCCTCTCCTCGCCTCAAAGGCCTCAACGAGATACAATTTCCCTGTCTATTTATTTACTACTACTGAACATCCAAAATATACTATTTAACTCTATGTACAAATGCCATATGTGTACATATATATTACATAGTATAGAGTGTGTACAGGCACACAAAAAGATACATTGTTTACTATATATACTGTATGTGTATGTACACACATCTCTTCTAAAACTATACACATTCAACCTCTTACATTTGGAAAAACACACTCAGAGTCCACTTTCTGCCACACATTTAACTATAACTTCTGTACATTTAGAACATTACACATGCCTTCAGATTTACTTCCCTACCCTGCACCTGACTGTTAGAGCCAGGAGAGATCATGGATTGAGTAAAATGTGGTGAAACTCACTTAACAACGCTCTTGCTTAGCAACCAAAATTTTGGGCTCAATTCTGGTCATAAGTCAAGGACTATCTCTGCCTTTCTCTGCATGGCAGCCTTGTCCTAGTAAACTCCATCTCCTTTCTGGCAATTTTCCTCTGTTAGAGGCACCAAAATAATCCAGGTGATGTAAGGTTTCCTGCTGGAGCAGGAGGTTGGACTAGATGACCTCTAAGGTCCCTTCCAGCCCTAGATTGCTGTCCTGTTTCAAAGCATCTTCTAAAGCCACGTCTAGTGCCAGGGTTTGTGGTCCTTCCTTCCTTCTTTCTTTCTCTTTTTTTTTTTGTCTCTTTTTCTTTCTTTCTTTTTGCTCTCTCCCTTCCTTTCCTTCTTTCTCTCCTTCTCTTTCTTTCTTTTTCTTGTCTCTCCCTTCCTTCCCTTTTTTTATTCATTCTTTTCTCTCTCCCTTTCTTTCTTTTCTTTCTTTCTCTTTTCCTTCATTCTTTCTTTTCTCCCTCTCTCCTTCCTCTTTCCTTCTTTCTTTCTCTTTCTTTGTCTCTTTTTCTTTCTTGTCTCTCCCTTCCACTTTCTTTTTTTTTCTCTTTCTCTCATTTTCTTTGTGTCGTTTTCTTTCTTTCTTTCTCTCTCACCCTCTCTCCTTCAAAGTCTAGGAGAGTGAGACTGGGAGGCCCAAGAGAAAGCGCCAGGCGGCAGCAACACCAGCAGCCAGCAGCACCTAAAACAGGAGCTTCAGGCTGTGGCAGGTGGGGGTGGGGGCTGAAACAGGAGCTTCAGGCGGCAGTAGCGGGGCA